GTGAGCCTTTTTTCAAAAATAATATTAAATTTGAAACCTTAAATACGGAAATTGCTCCAAGTGAGAGGTATTTTTACTATCACAATCGTTTTTATTATAGATCTCTCTATATATTATCTTTTCCTTGGCTCTACAAAGTGACATAGTTCTGATGTTAAAACTAGCCCACTTGTGATTGGTTGAGCCAGCCCATCTTGACAACTCCTCTTCAGGAAGCACATGCTGTCAAGACTCAGTTCATAAACTGACTAAGGCAGAGAGAAAAAAAGGACCAATGAAGTTACCATGAAGCCTGATTGTGACCCAGGCTAATTGAGTTAGAGTAAAGCCTCCTTACCCTGCAGAAACTGCTTGGAATAAATGTTCTTGTATGCGCTATACCCTTTACTCTATGCATCTAAACTAAGTGACTTTCCTGCAAGACTTTTCCTTTGTTTTTCCTCCACACCTCAAAAGAAATCTCTCATCACTTTGCAACCTAATTGAAGAAAAAATTTTGTTTTAGTCAACCCTGGTCTGAATCCAAATCGTGGAATCACCAGAACATCCAACAAACTGGAACCGAAAAATTTGCCTTCCAGTCTGAGTGACCTTCCAGCTGGAACAACAACTTTTCATGCCAATATTTCCCCATAAGTCAAGCTGAGAGATGGGACTGTGGAAACCACACACCTGCAGTGATTCAATTAGATCAGTGAGGGTTCTGTTGGTTCAATTAAAAGTAGTTTTGATGCTTTTAAGTCAACCAGCCATTTATGTCCCTCTTGGATTTAAGTAGAAAATATGTCAAAATCTATTTAAAATAATATTTCCTCTGTTATGGCACATCTGCTTTTCTGAACTGACATACTGTACTGTAAATAGTATGCATGTTTTTATGTTCAATACATATGCACATTATGTACATTTTTGGAAAAGTGATCCGACTCAGTTGCACATCCCTTGGATCGTGAGTCTGATATTTTTATTTGCAATAACTGCATTGTATTTTCTGGTCATTACACTGAAAAAAGAGAGTGAAGCTCCTACTTAAAAATAATTTAAGTTAATTTGTGATCAAATTAAGTTAGTCAAACTTTATTTATTTACATTTGTTTAGAGTGGCAACTTCATAAACTTAATATATTTATTTGGATCAATTTAAATTGATTAACAACATAACAAATTACTTCCTTTTTTTAAGTTGAACCACTTGTTTTCTTTTTTCAGTGTACTATTATTGTTGTTGCTATTCTTGTTTTCTCTATGTATATTTTAACACTTCAAGAACTTTTTGTTGTGTGGACCTTTATACCTGCTGCTGTTCCACCTGAATTCCCCTGTGTGGGACAATAATGACTGTTTCTATTTCTATTTCTGTTCTTTTTCTAAAATCAGATCTTGAACACCTTTCTTTCATCTATTGAAAACTAGTAAACTCTAGAATCTTTAATAAGTTTAAATAATATTTTGAACATTTCAATTACTTCTCAATACTTTCTCTTCTCACCTGACATTATTGTAAAATGTGCATTATTATCATTCTTTACATTTAATGGCTTGTATATTTATTGTGTCTTAATTAAATCCATGTAAGATCATAGCTTGATTAATAACAAATTTTGCTTTTCATTAATTACAGAAAGTTGGCTTTTTTTAGAATCTTTGACTGAAATGTCATTATGATTTCAATGCTAATCATCTCTAGTTTCATTTTGAATTGTCTGGTAAAGATAAAGAAAGAATTGATCCATTTGACATCTGATGGACAATAAGAAAAATTTATTTATGTACATTAAAACAGGTAAATACTCAAGATGAGTTAGTGTGCACATTCTTCCTTTATTAAGTGATATAATTTTATTACTAGTCAAAGGTGAAAATTTAAGAAAAACAAGGTAAAAGTTACGTGTTGCATGATATAAAACCTGAAATTCCCATTAGAGTTTTTATTAGATGATCTAATTCCCACACACTAAGCTCTGAGATGTCCAGGAATTTTTTTTATCAGCCCACAGGTCTTTTACAGACCTCCCGAGACCAGTCATCATATGTCACAAAACAAGTCAAAACAATTTAATCTCACATGTGCTCCTCATTACTATTTCATAGAAAAGTAATTTAGGAGGCCTGGGCTGAACTGTAGCTCAACTAGAGAGAGAAGACAAAGGAGAGGAGGCAAAAAGGGAGGAATTAAACCAACAAAGATTAGCAAGCGCTTGAGTCCAATAACAGAAAAATACATCTCCATGTAAACATTGTTGACATCCATGGGAAAGTGCCATCCAGTTCCCTTTATGAAATGAGGTCATATTCAGGCTTTAGTCCCAACTATAAAGTTTCCTTCATAAGGGACTTTATTACACAGTGACAACCCAGCTGCTACACAGTACATTCTCAAATAAAAGTGTAAAAATACCATGTAAAGTCATATGTTAATATTAATGTTGGTCTGCTTTAGCGTCATGGCATTTAATTAGATAATATTTATTACAATACAAGTGGTTCTTTGCAAAATAAAAATTGCAATGGTGATAAATTAGCAATATATTATGTACCCCTAGAAATGAGTGGCTGAAGAAGTCATCACTGATGAAAAAGCTAAGTATTGTCCTAAATAGATAGATGGAAAGTATTAATCTATGGAGGGGAAAAAGTAAAATCCTTCAGGAAATTATTATTTTTTCTAAAATATCAAAGCACTACAAAAGCTGACACTCAGATTAGAGAATTTACTCAATCCCTCAACTAGCAATTATTCAGACATTGTTTCTGTAACTCATTTATCAAACTAAATCTGATGCAAAGTGCAAAAAACAACTAACACCAGAACTAAAAAATAAGCATCAATCCATGCTTTATACACTTATACATGACTAAATTCCATCCCATCTTCAAGCACAAAGCATAAAAGACTTTAAGATTTTTTTAATTTTGACCTCTTGCAGTAATTTTCCCTTTCTGAACTTCATGTGTCCTCATATCCTGTAAGGATGTTTCCTTCATCCTGCCAACAGCAGCCGGCAGCAGCATAACCTGGAGGTCTTTTTCCTGCGACGTGTGAATATTGTGTAGCTTATGCAGCAGATCATTATATAACTGGGTCATTGTTTTGTTTCTTTCCAGTGAATTTTAGAACTCTTAAATATGTGAATCTTGCATCACCCGGGGCTATTTAACAGAAACAAAGACCTTGTCTTATTAGCTTCAGTGAACAGTAAATCAGAAACTTAAACCTCAAGATTCTTTAGGTAAAGGTTAACACAAGTTCAGATTGTGAGTTAGCAAAAAAGCAGAAGGAACTCATTAGTCACCCTAAAAGGCTAAGTTTGCACAGACTGGAAGAGTGGATAATGTAACTCTATATTGATTATCTTTAAATTCATTAAAGATAAGATGGATCCCTGAGGGACTGATCATGGTCCTTGATTCTTAAATATAAAAGCAATGTATGATGCAACACAAAACAACTTCTCATCTGGAAAAAATGACAATATCTCAACAAATTATTGGCTGTGGAGCATCTTTATAGTGAGATTGAGTGTTTTGCTGTGAAGATGCACACAAGTGTACATACAGACGCGCGCACACATGACTGGAGGGGACAGAGGCCAGCCTGTTCAACAAGTAGGTCAGCGCAGGTCCAACAAGAGCAAGAGAAACAGAGAGGGAGAGAAAGGCAGGAGCTGACTGAAGCAAGATCATTGGCTGGCAGCGCTTTAAAAATGTATTCACACCCCTTGGACTTTTTCCCATTTTTTGCCATGTTACAACCACAAACCTCAATGTATTTCATTTCCATTGTGAAAAGGTTAACATGTTTTATCGATAAAAAACTATGAAGGTTGGTTGGAGAAGACTAGAGAACAACTACAATAATAAAGACAAAGGCACACAGCGGGCAGGTCTGAGGTGGTGTTATGGAGAAGTCTAAAGCATGGTTATGTAATAAAATAATACATCAAGCAAAAACTTCTCATAAAGCACAGTTCAACCAATCACCCTAAGAAGAAAAGACTACAAAACTGCAAACCAACAAAGATATAGAGGTCCGACTAATCTGACAGGCTTGGTGAGGAGAGGAGAGCATTAATCAGATATACTGTAGAGCCAGAATGTTAACTCTGGAGGAGCTACAGTGATCCATAGTTCAGGCGGGAGAGTCTGTTAAGGATAATCATAAATTTTGTAAGTCAAATATCTGGCTTTAAAGAAGAAGGGGCAAGAAGAAAGTCACTGCTGAAAAAAAAAAACTTCAAGAATTCCTGTTTACAGTTTAGCACCAGCATGGTAGTGGTTATAGGATACATATTAAGCAAGGAGAGGATACAAAAATGGATGTAGCTAAATGCAGACACAAAAGCCAGTTGGTGACTGCAACAGCATTGAGACTGGAGTGGAGGTTCACCTTATGTGTGTAAAGAAAAAGAATGAAAAAGTTCAGTCTAGATGTTCAAAGCTGGTGGGTGTATAACCCTAAAACCTGCTGGCTCAAAGGTGTGGAACAGATGCTCAACACAAATTTCTGATTTTATTTGCAAATTGACTTTGAAAACCATGCATCTTTTTCCTTTCATTCAGCAATCATGTATGTCTTTGTGTTAGTCTATTACATAAAGTCTCACCAAAATATAAACAAAAATGTGTTTCTAACATGAGAGAATGTGATAAAGTTCAAAAAGTGAACTTTATCACTTTTTGAAAGTGATAAAGTATAAAGTAGAAAGGCAAAATATGAATGCTTAAATTTTAATGCAAGATGTAATATTACTAAGTAAGTACTGGAAAACTATTTTCTCCAATTGATAAATCCGTTGTTTTATATATATATATATATATATATATATATATATATATATATATATATATATATATATATATATATATATATATATATATATATATATATATATATATATATATATATATATATATATATATATATATATATATATATATATATATATATATATATATATATATATATATATATATAGTTCGTTAGAAGACGTATGACTCACCTGGGGGCAGTCTTTGATGTAATGGCCTTTGTTGAAGCACAGATGGCACAGGTAGTTGGGTGGGGGTCTTTTGTTGGGTTTCCTTGGCTCTGAAGAAAGGGAAAGGTCTGAGAAATGGTCCGTAAGGGAGTTGAGTCCATCCACGATGTTGTTCAGGGAGCCATAGGGAGATACATTCTTATACACGTTGTTGTTTAAGGCCTACAAAACAGGAACAGACAAGACTCCGATTCAACACAGCGCTTTTACACAACATGCCGTCTTTGTTTTCCTTCAACAGATTTTCACGTCATATTTAACGATTCTATTTTCTGCTGCGAGAAAAACATGTGAGGCCTCCGAGACCATTTATTTTATTTAATTCAGAACATCTGGCGATGAGCCCAGCTGTGCTTACGAACTGGAAAAGTACTGAGCATGTCCATGAAGAAAGACAGGGCTTTACAACGGATGACTCACTGTAAACAAGATGAGAGACATTCTCACTATGGCCGGCCATAGTCAGCCATCAGAAATGTCACCACACGCTGTTGGCAGTAAACTAGCCTCTGTCGGTTTGTTGTCGGCGACAGAACACAGCTTTGCATGCAACCAGGCCCAGTGAATTCATAGAGGATGCCCTCTGAATATTAAAAACAGGGAAAGCAATTCTTGCAGCCCTTTTCCTCTCCATCCCTGTCTTCCCCAGTTAAATTGCAATACACAACAGAAGACAGCAACCTGCTTCTCTGGGAAATTAGGCCAGTTATAGAGCAAGCTTTCATATTTCACAAAGCCATCTCATTAACCTTGAGGGAACATAGCAATAGATAATCTTGCTTGACATCTGCCTTAAATCTATGCAGTTTAACTAAACAGCAAATATCTGATACACAAATTGTAAGTAAAAACAGAGTGAAATCCACACTTTCACTATTTCTTATGACTCCCAGCCATTCTGTAAGTTTTGAGACTCAGGTTTATGTCTGGCTTGAAATGTTACTGTTGGTGTTTAATGTTGCAAAGCAAAGAAACTTTAGCCTTGGCAGCTTTGCTACAACTGAAAGCCAAATCTTTATCTGGAGGCTGTAAGATTGTCTTGCTAAACAGCTCCAGCCTTAAGACTCATGTTCATTTATTACATGCAGCCTTTGTAAATCAAACGTTGCAGCTCTTTAGTTTTTTTTGAGTTTTCCATGTGCCATGTGTTTCTTCTCTGCTGGCAGGAGTTGCTTCAATTCTCTGCCGTCTGTAACTTGAAAAATTTGGAGAGGATTGTGAAATTATTTTTAAAAATTACACAAAACAGGAAACTTGACTCTGTTTATGATGTGTCGCATTTTCCCTCTCTGTTTGGCTTCAAACCATTTTCTGCCTACGCAAGAGACAGAGATTTCACACACCTCTGCTAATGGAGGGGGAGAGTTTGTTTATTTTGTGTATTTGTGTGTCTGAGTGAGAGGCTACAAGAGATAACTCTAAAGAGGAAGCACTTTGCCATTCAGAGGGAGAGTTCAGAATCTTTTCAGTGAGGTTTTGTAAAACAACTATAAGGGCTTCAATCTCTTGTGTGGGTTTTCCAGCAGAGCAGGTTGAGAACCTTTACCGGTTCTGGAAGAACTGGTTTGGTGGAACAAGTGCCGCGTCGCAACTTTACAATTGTATAAGCATGACATCTGAAGTCAATGAATGTAATTGATTTTTTTTTTCTGTGAAGTACATTGAGAGAATATATATTTTCAATTGGTCCGACATTAATAAACTGAAAAAAAAAATGCAATTAAATGTTTGAGCTACTTTCATTTGAATTTACACAGATTATCACTGATACAGGAACACAGCTTAACTATACAAATAACATTATTTGGCTCAGTAATCATGCAAACAAATGTCCTTATTATCACCTGACTTAATACAATATTCAGTGGGATTCAACGTGAACGTTGTACTTTCCTAACCATCTGATCTTCTTCTGGCACCAGCAGCTCTGCAGACAGTTTGACACACTCCTTAGACCAGGATTTATTAACACTTGTTAAATTGTTTTTTCCAAGTCAAGTCCCAACTCTCTAATGAGTGAAATTAAGACTCTCCTCTTGGAGGCATTCCCTCTAGTCTCTCTAAAACACAGAGCTGCTGTAGCTTCCTCAGTTTAAATTCTTCTCATTCTACACATAAATCTAGTTTGAGACATTCGGTTTTACATCTAAATAAATGCTGTTAAATGTTGTGAATAATTTTGAAAGTGAGATATAATATTTACCCCACAACAAATATTCATATGCATTTACAATGAAAGAAAACTAGCTAAATAAATACCAGTTAATGTGGAGTTTTTTTTTTGTTTTGTTTTGTTTATATTTTTTTATTTTTTTTTTGAAAAAGCAAAAACAACAAAAGAAAGACGACTAAGGAGACTTTGTAGTGGCACAAGGTTAGCACAGAGATAAGATGTCAGAGATAAAATAAAATTATTTCGTTTTTAAATGACCCACGGTTATTTAATACAGAGTTCAGTTTCAGAGAACCTATCCATGGCTAATAAATCAAACGCACCCTTCTATGATAGGAAATGAGCGTTTCTGCCAGAGCTGAACCTCAAGTCTCCTGAACAATCTGGACTAAGCTTATCTTGTTTTGAGTTTTTAGAGTGCAAATCTATAGGAGTAGTTTCTCACTTTTTCTCTGATTGGATTGGTTTGCTTTAAACAGACTAGAGTTTGGCTCCTTGGATCATCTGCTTCTGTTAGGTCAGTGTGAAAGCTCTTCCTTGTGGTTCAAGTAAATGCTGGTTCATCTGAAAGCATGGATAGCAGTTTTGATTGGAGGTGAACTTCAGTCTGCTTTTCTTGCAGTGAAAGTAAGTGTAACCGGGAACTGAATTTGCTAATACATGTGATGTACATTTATATACTCTGTTCAGTTTAAGTCTGTTTACTGTAATTATCTAGCGCCAGTTTATAAGAAAATTCATGCTAAGGAACTTTACAAAAAAAGGGATCTCATTTATGCATATAAGTATATAGTCTATTCATTCCATTTCACTCATACTATATGAACACATTAAAATCCAATTACAATATTCCAACTTAATCCTACTGATGAGAAAATGCAACGAGGCTCAGTTTATTATGCTGGAAAGGAAAAATATCCCTTTTAGCAAGAGACCACTAGCAGAACCCAGCTCAGTTTTAGCACCCATCTGTTGCAATTGTAGCTGTGAGAAGATAGAGCAGACACACACAGAGCACATTTGTGTGATCTGAAAATTTTATGTCCTCGCTCTGTGTCTGTGTAACCCCAGCAGCCCATTATATACTCTTTTACCATTTTATATTCTATGTTGCTGCAGAATTGGATCTGATTTCTATCTGTAATCAATATTTCTCTTATATCAAACCTCATTCACCCAAGGTCAAACAACTTCACACTTTCCATGAGTATTGGGCTCACAGTTGCACCTACCTACATGTCCGTCCTGCCAAGAATTAGTAATGTGAGAGCTCAGTCTGAACATGTACCAGGAGATACTCTCATTTCAGACATCTATATAGGAATCAAAAATAGGTTTCAATTAAATGTACTAATGGCTTGCCATACTGGACAGCTTCTTGTGATATCGCCACAAACAAGCAGATGTTGTAACTGCATAACATTTCCAAGGTGGTCTCGTCAGTTGTGTATTGAGAAAGAGAACCAAACCAAATGAAGTTGTGAAATCACAGACTCCTCATCTCAAATGTTTAACATGTTCATTACTTGTTTCATGCACGAAGATCTTTGGTGCCTCATCTCCCTCTAACTTTATTTTCTGTGTGAATAATCTTTGGTCTCTGTGTAAACAACAACCCACTGAACACTTGACAATGGCTTCATGATTTGCATCACGGCATTCACATAAACCTGCCATGGCATTCTGGAGACTGGAACTGATTTAAGACTGAAGAAGTCAAATCTGTCTCCTCTCGCTGCTATCTTCAACCTCTGGGATTTGATTCTACTTGGCTTGATTCTACATTCCTTCAATGTGATGCTTCCTTCCAAACTACAAGAAACTAAATGAAGACATCCTGAGAGTTATCTACTTAAAGATAGACATTAACTGCTTACGACCTTTAAGTAAAACCTCTCTTAAAAACCTCTGAACCGTCTCTCTTCAAGCAAGTGCTGAACAAGTCCAGCACATCTGTGGCTATTTAAACAAATCCAAAGGATGAGTTGTCACAATGTGATGTGGGGAAGTTAATCAAACACTGATATGTTTCAAGCAGGATGGAGCCGTCTAGTGGATTTAGATTTGCACAAAATGTTGAGAAAGGTTAAATAGTTTTATGTAAATACTATACCAAAAACTACCTTATCGTAAATCTAAACCGACAGCAAATCTTTTCTGTGGAATGCATCTTGAAACAATATATTCCAATCTCGCTCCAATTAGACCTGTAAAAACAATAGCATTCCGCATTACTCATCTCATCCATTACCAGTCTGCAGTGGGTTATTTCACTTGGCTTGATCTCTGCATTAAATTGAAAATTACCCCACCTTTTAAACCATTTCCAGACTCTGTGTGTTCTCACAGTTTGAAAACACTTCAAAACCATATGGGTTGAAAAGAATTAACAACTGCATGTGATATGCAATGTGAAAATGCAGTTTCCTGCAGACTTCTCGTGTTAAATGAGTTGAAAAGCTCTACCTGGGTACCGTATTAAAGTATGCTAGGTCCAGTTGGTGCATTCATCCTCCATCCAGTACTGGTGTGTCCAAATCTTGACTTCAGGTAAACTAAACTGATGTGTAATTAACACTTATAGCTGTATATTTTTGCACTAGCATGTTCAGTATGTAATTGTTTTTTAATGGCGTGCTGCATGTACACATGTGTGTTTACAGGGCTGAGGTTTAGGGGTGCGGTTGCCTGCCTGGGTGCTGTTTTTTGCACACTGCGGTCTGGAGTATCAGATTAGCACCCGGTACACATTATAAGCATATTTGTCCCTAAAATTACACAGAGCTACAAAAATAGACAATATATAAACAAGTACAGATTTTTGTTTGCACAACCTGGTCTATTTGAAGAAGGGAGAGACAGCAGACCCCAGCAGTGGCCGGTTCTCTCCAGACAGAGAGGAGCTCTATTTTCATCTGCAGCTCAGAAATATATCCAAGCAATGCATATTTTGCCTCAATGTTTTCTAATTCACCCTTAATTGAAACACACTGACATGTAGAAAAATGACCCCTTCAAGGGATTATTCACTGACAATGGGGAAAGAAGGGCAAATTTAGTTTGTGTGCTTGAATAAAAAAAAATAAAAATCTTCATGTTATGATGTGAGCATCTCAGAATTTTCTGAATTTTACCAGATTTATTTCTGTGAATTTACAGGGATCCAGTTTTGGAGATATATATATATAAACTTATAATCTTATTAAGTTTAATGAAATAACTCTCTTACAACTCTCTTATTAAATGCGAATAATCAACTTAAGGCATATTATTGGCCCCAAGAGTGGGCAACAGGCAGCATGTGGTCACACAACTGACACATAGTTATTTCTATTGTTGTATAATAACAACAATAATAATGATCTTGGATGCATAATGCATAAATAAGTGACCATGAATATAAAGGTGACAGTAATCGAGCTGTGATATTTGGAAGGGCCCAAATCAAAGCAGCTGCTCAAAAACCAATGGGGGGTCCTGGAGATTACCAGTACAGGTCTGGTTTACAGTGGGTTTGTGGGTGTTTAATATAGGCATCTATGTGTAAAAATAATATAGTCAGCTCAGCTGACATAATCTCAAACAGGCTCAGGTCTGTGTGTTGCGGAGCATGTTTCACCTCATTACGCTGCAGCTGGAAAAAGTTGTTGAGATAGTTGGAGTTCAGGGAAGAGCTCAGGTCCGCCGCTGCGGGAGTCTTGCTGAAGCTGAGATCCGTGTGGGAAGAGTTGGGTTCGGGTCTGAACGCGTCAAAGGCGCTGGTCTGGTGGGGGTCTTGCAGGGAGAGATAGACCCAGTTGAGAAGCTGCGCGGGCTGGTACACGGAGGCGCTCGTGTCTATGGCAGACAGCAAGCTCATCTTTCAAATCAATAGGCGCAAAGCTGGATTTTCCACCGCTGACTGTTGCACTCCTCTCAACTCTCCCAAGTTTTCTCGCTGTCCCGTTCACCCTGCCCCGGCAGTCGGTGTCGCTTCTTCCTGTAAATCACCCTGCCCTCCTCACGCCGGGGAGCCTCGTCCCATGAGATTGTTACTGAAAAGTCATTGCGCTAACATCTCAGAATTAAAACTTTTCCTTTCCTCCCCATGGTCCGCTATCCGACTTTAATGCGGCGGCAGGGCAGAGACGCTCTTTTTGAATATTCAATGAGTGCGCTCTGCGTCATCTCAGACGCACAGCCAATCAGCGTCAAGTGTATCAATATTGTTTGAAGTAAAATTTTCACACTTTTTGGTGGATGGAGCAATAAATGAAAATGTTAAGTAAATCAGATTTGATTTTAGTTGTTTTTGTTATTGTTTTTTTTACATCTCTGAAATATATATGGACAAATGTTTAAAGACATGACAACCCTGTGGTTTCAGGGATTTGACTTTATTGTTTCCACTGACATTGATGATTTATATTAGCCATTTACAATAAGCTGTAAGTTACAACAGCTAGAAAGCCTTCTTGTCAATCTTGAGCTACCTCGATAGCTCCTCTATTGGACTGAAGTCTGAAGTCTGGCTGGGCCACTCTGTAACGGCATTATTTTTCATACACTGTAAAAAAGGAACCTCAGGGGTTATCACATTAACAAAAGAATATCATGTACTGTTAACTAAATAATTGCATGTTTGAGCCAAAAACATGATACAATCATGTTGCATAAACAAGATATTCCACAACTTCAACGTTTATAAAATTGAATCATGTTGAGCCAACATGATTCATTATAGTCAGACCGATCCTATGCTGAAGACCACGAGTGAGATCACGCGATACCACGCAAGTTCACGCAAGATTACGGGAAATCACGGGATATCACGCGAGAATACGCGAGACAATCGGTTTTTTTCTCGCAAATGGAATAAAATGTATTCAAGGTGAGATAACGTGATTCAATTACGTCAGCTAGATCTTCCGCCAAAAAAAAAAAGAACGTCGGGGCGTATTACATTAACAAAAAAATATCATGTACCTTTCACACAATGTTGGGTTTGAAGCGAAAACGTGATAAAATCATTTTGGATAAACAAGATATTCCACGACTTCACATTTATAAAATTGAATCATGTTGAGCTAACATGATTCATTATAGTTAGACTGATATTGTGCTGACGACAACGAGTGAGATCACGGGATATCACGCGAGAACACGCGAGACAATCGTTTTTTTTTCTCTCAACTGGACTAACGTGATTGAATGACGTTATCTCAACTTGAATACGTCTAATTCCTTAAGCTTAAGGGACTTGTACTAAAAGATACAACTCAGTTCAGTATGAATTGCATATTTTAATGGCTGAAAATATATCTGATCTCTTTCAGAACATCACCTGATCACCTGTCTGGAATCCACCTGCTTAAGTTCTGGTCAAGGGGCTCATCGGCTATCAAGTTATAGATTTCAGTGGCTAATAGTAAGTTTTGCCAGATCTAAAGTGACTGAATGTTAGAGAGCTTATAGAGCTAGGGTTCAGCTAAACATTTATTTGGCCAGTCTGTTTTATTTGTCTTTATTTGCGTGGGGATGTGGAAATGTAAGGAGTGTAGTCTCTCTCTGTCTCGTAGATATGACCTGTTAAAACATTTTACACTTAAACACCGGCATATGCGACGTTATCCATGCCCACACATAGACTGTCCATGTACTTGTAAGACATGGAATGCTTTGCATATTCATTTAAGTAGAAGGATATAGACTGTGTTGACCATTCTGTACTTTTCACATATTTCTTTGGTGATATATTCATGTCTTTATATAAACATGTTTAAATAAAGTTAGATGTTTAAATGAGATGTTAAACTCAATTTTAGTCATGGCATAATGAAGGGATACTAACAATTTTAAATATCTTTCAAATAGACTGCAAGCCACTGATCACTTTTGTTGTGACTTCCTTTGAATGTAGCTATGTTTTCAAGTGTGTGAACCTATACTGCTGGAGTTTTGAGATTGTTCTCATTGTTTTTTGATCTGCATATTTAGGAAGACACTGCTGAGGTCAGACGAGAGTGCATCCTCAAAGGTCTGTGTGTACCTAAATGAAGATCCAGAGAAGCTGGTGAGAGAGTACATGGTATGTTAAATTCTCTTTGTGTTTACAATAGAGGTCCTAAGAGTTGTTAAAATACTTTCACCAACTAAGGTCCATGAGTGACTCAATCAATGTCAGTCTTAATTTATTTATTTAATTACATGTGAATTGTCTCCCCCCAATACCCTTCCCTAACTCCCTTAGGACGTTGATGAATGAAATGGCCAAAGACGAGACTGTCCTCGGAATCGTCATTTGAGCAGAGGGTGCAGAGGCTGCCGATCCTCATCTGGATGTTGGGATTGTCCTGGAGGAGGTGGAAGTTATGAACAGCTTGGGCAGTGTATCTTCTGCAATAGTGATGCTGCTGGGACTAATCTACGCACTAAACTTGAGCTACCCTCAAGTTTAGTGCGTTCAGCACTCAACTTGCTCAGTAACTCAAGCATACCTTTGAAGTAATACACAAAAATAATAATGAAATTGGATGGAAAGAACTTATCAAAGAAAGCACAAGTTCTCAATATGAAACTCGCTGCTAAATTGAGTAAAGTTTCATATGGAAAATGAGTGTTTAAAGTCTGCAGTAGAAAAGATTTATATTGTTACAGTTCTCTAAGTTGAGCAACTATACTGACATGTTTTATGTTGTAAAGAATTGGCTGGGAAATGAAACTGTAACCTTTTTGTAGTTTTTTTTATTTCAATGTCCAACTCGGCTGTGTTTTGTGCTGTGTAAAAAAACGATGTATAACAATTCTGAAAATACAATTGTGTTGTACCTTTTCTAATTGTTGAGTGTTCTTCCTACACTTTCACCTAGTGCTATCTTAAAATGCTTGATTAACGCTTGAAAATATGTCTTTGAATTAACGTCATGAAATAATGGAAAGGATTTCCACACGATTAACTAGCTGTCTTTTAGCATGAAGCATATTTGTTGAGCTAACTTGCTTTTAGTGAGTTGGACCTACTGAATCAGGTAGTGTGAAGGTACCACTGTAAAATAAGGTGGTTTTAACTAGATTTACATTCATCTTAATGAAGTTACATCAATGATTTGGTCCTAAACATTGCAGATTAGTTGGGCGGGCTGTATTGCATTACACTGGGTCACGCTATAGTAACTGAGTTAAAGGAACCTTTAAAAAATATGTTGAGTCAACACATTTCATTTGAATTTGAATAACCTTAATGAATGGAGTTGAGCCAACTCATTTGATTTACAATCATCCATTGCATTACCATAATTCTGGTTAAGCCAACATATTTGGTTTAAATTAGAACAACCTTAATGAATTATGTTTTGCCAACTCATTTTATTTATATAAGAATAACCACAATATATTACATTGAGCCAACATGTTTGATTTAGAATCACCCATTGAATCACCATTGTAACAAGTTGAGCCAACACATTTGCTTTACATTGGAATAATCTTAATAAATTAGGTTGACCTAACACATTTGCTTTAAATAGGAGTAACACAAGTACATGGTGCTGAAATAAAGCAAAGTAATCAGGTGGAAATCCTTTCCATAATTTTTTTATGTTCATCCAATGACTTATTTTTTTCAGTGTAGAAGTTCAATTTTACTAAACTGTAGAAATAAGTTAAGCGAAGGTATAAGCTCAAAAGCTGAATAGTATCATCCTGAAGAGTGGCACGCCCTCTCTGGGTGAAGGGCTGCAGCCTAATACACCTGTATAAATATTTGGACAGGTTGAACTGCAATATGTGAATTTCTCTCTGCAGAATTAATAAAGTATATTCATTCATTCATTCATTCATTCATTTATTAACTGAAATCAATCAGATCCATCTCACAATTGACAAAGGAAACTGATGATCTCTGAGTCCCTGGGGAACATGCTCTGAAAGATGAGATGGTTGATCTTTCTGGAAGGGTGTGAATCACATATCAAAATTAGCAAAATCTATAATTGATAGAACTGTAATTTTTCTTTTCTCTACAAAGATTTAAATACAGTGGAAAGTTTATCTATAGATGCCTTTTTAAAAAAAATTAAAATTGGGTTTTGGAGACTGAGGTATTTTGGAGTCCATGAACTCTGCAATAATCTATTCCATGGTCTGCTCGAGCAGCTTCTTATCAACAGCTGAGCGGAAACAACTGGATAAGCTGATCAGGAAGGGCATATCTGTGCAGGGATGTCCCCTCGACCCAGTGCAGTTGGTGTGTCACTGGAGAACTGTAGCCAAACTAACATCACTCCTTGTCACTGTCCTCCACCCTATGCAGGAATCACTGCACTGCAAGGCTATTTACGTGACAAGCTGCTGCATTAAATGAAACGATCTTAAATGGAAAAAAAGAGTTGTTTCAAAGGTTGCTTCTCCTGTAAGCTTTTAGATTGTACAACGGCTCCTTAGCAAAAAGCTTATCTCCAGAGATCAATGGTTAAAAGGCAGAGTGGACCTTGGACAGATTGAAAGTCAATCACAGTAAAACGCTGAGAGACACTAGACAATGCATGCACACACTCACACCTATGGGCAAGTTAAAGAGGCCAGCTAGCCCCATATGCATGTTTTTGGAGTTGAAGTTGGTGTACCAAGAGAAAACCCAGGGATGCATGAGGAGAACAGGCAAACAATTCAAACCCAGGACTGTCTTCCAGCATTTTTAAGCTCTCTTACATACCAAATAGTGTACAAATTTTCTGAGAACCCTCTGCAGGCCTGGACACCCAAAGCAGCAGCTTGGTTTGCTTATGCTTTGGGCAGTTTCTGGTTATGATTATTCATTCTCAGTTTTCTGACGATATCTTCATGTAAGATATAATGACCACTGAGTCCATCAGTCAGGCAGGCAGTATCAAGGAGTTGCAGTTCTCTGTCATGCATATTTTTTTATTGGTTTCCCCTGCATGCATTCAGAAAATCGAATGGTTACAGACCATATGAGACGTTGCATAGTGTATGAAAGAAATAACTTTTGAAAGAGCTCCCTCTTGTGGCGAATCTACCTGAAACAGAATTAGACCTGTGTGAGGATTTGTGTAAAAAAAACAACAAAACTAGACTGATAGAGGTAGACCCAAACTTAAAGAACAATTCCCCACTTTTTCTTGTCATTGAGTGCCTCGAGACAATAATTTCTGTGATTTCACTGGTATAACATCTTTTCATTCAGCTGTAAGCAATTAGCTATTTTTAAATACTTTGGATATTCTCAGTTTCTGCAGGGCTGAGACACCTTTGAGACACAAGTGGCGTCTCAATGTGTAATAGGGAAGCATGACACTAAAATTAAATTTGTGGTGGATTTATTTATCAAACAGAATGTCATGTGTTCACCAACAACATCACACACTGAGTACCATGAGTGGTACACATATACTATATATATCTCTATATGGATATATATCTCTATATATGGATATATATCTCTATATGGATATATATCTCTATATGGATATATATCTCTATATATGGATATATATCTCTATATGGATATATATCTATATATATCTATATCTATATATCTATAACAGTATATCTATATATCTATAGATATAGATATATATATATCCATCCGACAGTCAGTTATCTATCTATCTATCTATCTATCTATCTATCTATCTATCTATCTATCTATCTATCTATCTATCTATCTATCTATCTATCTATCTATCTATCTATCTATCTATCTATCTATCTATCTATCTATCTATCTATCTATCTATCTATCTATCTATCTATCTATCTATCTATCTATCTATCTATCTATCTATCTATCTATCTATCTATCTATCTATCTATCTATCTATCTATCTATCTATCTATCTATCTATCTATCTATCTATCTATCTATCTATCTATCTATCTATCTATCTATCTATCTATCTATCTATCTATCTATCTATCTATCTATCTATCTATCTATCTATCTATCTATCTATCTATCTATCTATCTAGATATATATAGATATAGATATATAGATATATATATATCTATGTAATGATTAAAATTATGTAATTTTAATCATTACATAACATCATGGCAACAGAGTATGCCATAATGTTTCCTCGATGTCATCACTGCTTGTTGTCACGTAATAAACTGTTGTTAGTTGTTGACGTCGTCAAAGCTACGTCAATGCAGGGATGGGCGGCTCCCCTATAAGGACATTTTGAGTCCCACCCATTAAGGTTTGACATACCACTTCACCCCAGCAGACATTCGCACACCAGGAAGAGAAGAGAAGCGGACACATAGTAAGTACTTGCTAAGTTAATTCAAAGTTGATATAAGATACCAGAACTAATGGTCCTCTGTATTACGCTTTATGAAGAGTAAATCTGTTTATGTGTCGATGTCTGTGGAGTGTACTGCTTCCTGCGTTCTTGACGTTGTTAGTTAGCTTGTTACTTCCTTTAGCCAAGCCACGTAGTTGCTATAGCTTCAGCTTTAAGCAGCTCGTCTTTCAGGCTGAGTGTACAGTGGTTCTTTGTTTTAGAGTTGGCAAATTTAAATAGATAGCTGAGCAAGGCTATGTAGCCGAAGAGGCTAGGTAGATTAAAGTGAATGTGCTGGCTTGTCTAGAAGGAAGGTTGGAAAGGCCCCAGGCTTGTTCTATTGACAACTTGCAGGATTAATTAGATCTGTTTTAACTTGAAGAGTTTGTGTCTGGAAACTGTAAAATTGTACTCTTTTGATTTTTTTTTTACTTGAAAACCACCATCTGGAGTTTGGAGAGAAATGTAATATTTGTAGAAGCTATAAATAAACTTCAAAAGTTCCTATTCTTGAAAGCCCCAGAGGAACATTAGAAACTGTTATCAGCTTTATGTCATCTGGTTTAAGTGTGTATGTTTAACTGAATATCTTATTTGCTTTGTGGGGTTATTCAAACTTTTTTTTTTTTTTTTACTGGGAATGCAAAGCTGAAGACTGTCAACAATGAGGTCAGTTTTACCATGGAACAATTTAGTCCAGTGGAGCACAGACTCTTACCAAATGCAACTAAAAGGAAACTTTCTCTTTCCTCTTTACTCAAATATTTTCAGGCCAGCTGCCAGGATATAAAGAGTCAAACTCTTCACCCGTGGATGCATAGTACATATGTGTATGTACTCTATAAATAATACCAATTGGGGAAAAATATATTTCCAGTTACTTGTTACTACCTCATTGTATTTAAAATGACTTGAATGCTACAAAAAAAGTGTTCTTCAGTCACTGATACTTCCTGGTTAACCAATTTATGATCAACAACTAAAGACAGTGATCACCAATCATATACTTTTTTTATGGAAATTGGCCAATTGTGATCGGTGACCAATCAATTACATCTCTCGGCTGAAGACATGGTAGTGTCCAGACTTAAACTCAGCATGAGATTGCCTTCAGAACAGAGTGAGTAAATCAAGTCCAACCTCCATGTCATTTAGTCTCAGTATAAACACAGCTGTTCGGTGAAGGTTTGTCAGACAAAATTAATGAACAAACATCATCATAAAGACCAAGGTCAGGGTGAAAGTTATGGAAAGGTTTAAAGTAATATTGGAGATTAGATTAGAAAACAGTTTCTTGAACACCTAGCAGAACACAGCTCAGTTCATCATCTAGCAAGAACACTAATAATCTGGGAAGCAACCAAGAGGTCCATGGTAAACATGGAGGAGCAGTAGAAATCCACAGCTCAGGTTTAGGAGTCAGTCAACAGGACCACTTTACTCTTTGTGGAAGATTTTCAAACAGAATTAAGAATTTCCAAAGTCGGTCATGTATGTGGAAGATGTGCTTGTTAAAGGAGACCAAAATTAAACTTTATGGCCTATATTCAAAATGCACTGCATCAAAAAAAAACTAGCACTTCACTTCTCTCTTGACAACACCAACTCCGATGTGAAACACAGTGGTGGCAGCATCATGCTGGGAGGGGGCTATTCTTCATCAAAATAGAGGAAGCTGGTTCAAGGCTGCAAAAGACTTAAGACTGGGATGGAAGTTTCTTTTTTACCTAAATCTGCTAAGCCTAAGAGACATTTTCCAAGACTTTCAGATGTGATTGGAGAGAAAGGTGATTAAAGGATTGACTACAAATTATGCATGCCGCTCTTTAAACTTTATTGCAAAATAAATGAAAACTATGCATATCATGCATGTAATTTGACAATAATGCTCTACATTGTTCACATAAAATTCCCCACATTAAAATACAAAGTTTTAATGTCACAAATGTTAAATGTTTTCACATTTTACAAGGCACCATATTTCATTAGTTCTTCATTTCTGTGTTTAAAGCAATGAGCTACCCAGGATACCCCCCTCCGGCTGGCACATACCCACCACAGCCTGGGTTTTACCCTCCCCAAGCAGGAGGCTATCCTCCCCAAGCAGGAGGCTACCCTTCCCAAGCAGGAGGCTACCCTCCCCAAGCAGGAGGCTATCCTCCCCAAGCAGGAGGCTATCCTCCCCAAGCAGGAGGCTACCCTCCGCAGCCCGGTGCCTTCCCTCCGCAGCCTGGTTCCTATCCTCCTCAGGCTGGAGCCTACCCACCACCATTACCCACAGGTAAGCAAACATTTTAAGAAAAAAAAAACAAGATTTTTGTTTTAGTTGATTGACTTCAGAATTACAAGCTTGCATAATTGGGTTAAAAAAATCATCCTACAATTATAAGAACAGCTCAAAAAGACTTTTTTCTTGTTGTAAAGTATTGGATATTTGTCATGGAAGTTAAATTCTATTATAGCCTGTTGGGAGTGTCTCATTTTCCATAGGTGTCTATTTTTTTAAGTTATGGATAAAATAACCAAGCTACAATACATTGGTTAATAGAACTGCCAATTAAGTCTATTAACTTAAAAGATTAAAGTCTTTTAAAACTCTAGCTGTATATGTGTGAAGGAATTTGGTTGTATTATCCATGTCTTTAGAAATCCAAATTCAAACACACTATTGATCGCAAAAGGATATTGAATAAAGGAAGTAAGTGTATTTTCTAAAATACTCCACGCTCAAGTTTTGGGACATTTTAGGCAGAATTTGTAAGCTAAGTTGTGTTACATGACCCTTTGTTAGTCTTGCTTTCCCCTCAAAAGCAAACAGCTCTGCTGTTGCTAAGAGAGGTAAATCCTGCTGTCCACAGTTAACAAATTGCTCCTATTCTCTGTCCATCACTCTTACATCAAGATATTAAACAAACACAACAATTGTAAATACACTGAGGAGGATGTCCATCACATTTATTGGGCACTTTGCTCCACAATACATTTGCATGTTTACTTTTTGTTGCAGGCACGTGGGGAGGCGGCCCCTCTGGTGGATATCCCTCCACTGCTCCTGGCAGCTATCCTAACCCTGGATACAATGCAGGCATGGTGAGTTTAGCCCCTCAAGTGTTAGTTAAACATACATTGATTAAAATAAACTTGTAATGCACCCAATTCAGGTTATTGCATTAAGTATTGCAGTTAGGCTGAGTTGCACAGCCTGTAGTGGAAACTGAAGCTCTTACATTTAACGGTAAGATTTTTCCCCCCAGAAGAATACTCCCTAAAGTTCTCAGCATTGCAGATTTCTTTGCCAACTTTCCTCTTGTTCTACTGCATGAAAATCAGTCATGTGCTAAAGTTTCATTCATGCATATTTCCCCATTAATCTGATGCTTCTTTTCTCTTTCCTGCATTGTTTTCATCATCGCTATGTCTGTTCTGGTTCTCATTTTCTGCAAAAAGTGTATTTAATTAGCATGATCACACTTTGGATGCCCAGAACTCATATAAATTAGTATCCCAACAACAACAACAACAAAACAGGAAAAACAATAACCTAAGTTTCTCTTCTCTGGGATTAATCCATAATTTAAGACACAAATATGTGTTACTGATGCAAACAAGGTGTGAACTGCTACACATTCTCTGCAATAAATAAAGAATAATTATAACATTATTAATTTAAATGCCAATCTTTCACAGGCCTACCAGATCTCTGCTGGAATGGGGGCGTTTACTCCAAACTCATCCATTCTCCCCCAAGCATCTGGAGGGTACCCACCTGCACTGGGAGGGTACCCATCTGCCCCCCATGTGGGTGATAGCGGTGCCCTCTATCCTAACCTACAGTCATGTGGCCTGTACCCACAGCCAGGAGGCACCATGCCCCAACAACAGTATCCTGGGATGGGCTATCCCGGTCAGCCTGGACAGACGATGCCCGGATACCCCCAAGCACCGTCACCCAACCCACCCATGCCTGGCTTTGGAGGAGCCCCATCACCAAATCCATCAATGCCAGCCTATGGAGGAGGAGCCATGCCGGTTGCTCCATCCAGCAAAGTAAGGGATGCAAAAAATAAATAAATGAAAAGAAATTGATTTGTTAGTTGCATGCAAACATTTTTACATAAAGAAATTTTGATTTCTGCACTTCTACATTAGCACGTATTCAGGGGAACAATCAAAGACTTCCCAGGAGCTGATCCGCTGAAAGATGTGGAGGTTCTTAGGAAAGCTATGAAGGGCTTTGGTGAGTTTTCTGGACTGATGCCCTAATAACACTGTACAGAAATATTAAATAAACCTGAGATTATGTTGATAATCCTGCTGTAAGTGATAGTTAATAGCATTGGTAGTTTAACTTGGATGTTATTTTTTCCTCTGCTGAAAAATTCTCTGTCTATAAATATCTAAATATATTTGACATACAGATTAGTGTGTAAAAAAATATGCATTAATGCTATAATGTGTGAAAAACTGGAATATTAAATGTTATCAGGGCCCGTTTTTCTGTCTGATTTGAGCCTAGCATTACATTTCCAACCTGTCTGCGCAGGAACTGACGAGCAGGCCATAATCGACCTACTGGGCAGTCGCTCCAATAAGCAGCGGGTACCTTTACTCAAAGCCTACAAGACGTCCTACGGGAAGGTAATGTTCCTGTTTGTGGTTATTATTAAAGAACCGCTTTCTAGAATAGCCTCCAAAAATAGTTGACACCATTTACAAACATAGAAACAGACATGGCTCCAAGTCCATTCCACTGAAATGGAATGGAGAGGCTGACATCTGCTGCTGGTGCCAGCAATAAAATGGAGGGAAGATCCAATATACCACAGAGCTTCCAGCACGTGATAGCTGTCAGTCATTTCAAATTATTTTCCACTTCCAGGACCTGATTAAAGATCTGCATTCTGAGCTTTCTGGAGACTTCAGGAACCTGGTCATGGCCATGCTGAAAAGCCCGTCTGAGTTTGACGCCTCTGAACTCCACAGTGCCATGAAGGCAAGCGCTCAGGAAGAGATATAATAATTCCACTGAGTTAATTTGCCCTCAAATGCTGAAAACTGTTCTGGAAGAAGAAAAAAAAAGCATATTTGTTGCTCTGTTCTTCCTCACAGGGAGCTGGAACTGACGAAGCCTGCATGATAGAGATCTTGTCCTCGCGCTCCAATGCTGAAATCAAAGAGATAAACCGAATTTACAAAGAAAGTAAGAGATGTCAGGACTGTGAATATGCGGCTTTCTAATAATACGATTCACTATGTACAATCACAATAATTGATATCTGTGAGGCGGGGAAAAGTAAATGATTAAATTTTGAAAGATGACAGAAACATCAAAATATTTCAGTCTTGGTATGAATCGGTCAGGAACCACATCTGCTTGTTATAGCTGCAGGTTGACTGTATTCATTGTCTAATTTCTTTTTTCAGGCTATAAAAAATCCCTGGAAGATGCCATTAAAAGCGATACCTCAGGCCACTTCCGTCGTCTCCTGATCTCTCTGGCTCAGGTACTGCTGTGTTGTAAATGTCTTATGTAACTTTGCAGCTGCTCTGTTGCCCTAACCGTGTCAAATCTAATGAGTGTATTGCCATTTTGTATCTTGCAGGGCAGTCGAGATGAAAGAGAGAATATTGATGTCAGTCTGGCTCAACAAGACGCTCAGGTGAAGTCTGATCTCCTTTTGGGGATTACTGTTTGTACAACACATGAAACTGCCAGCAGATTACAATTTACTTCCTACTTGTTTCTTGGTTGAAAGAAATAGGCTTGGATCAATCCTTCCCAATTGGTCAGCACTGCCATTTGCACAGAATTCAGTATATGTTATTATTCTATATTTGCTATTTTTTATGCTGCAGGCATTGTATGCTGCTGGAGAAAATAAACTGGGAACAGATGAGTCCAAATTTAATGCCATTTTGTGTGCAAGAAGCAAACCACATCTCCGAACAGGTACAAAAACAATACCTAATAGAATATATCTTTTTTGTTAAACTATTCTGTCATATAACATACTTAAATATCAATGTATTTTATTGGGATTTTCTGTGATATATCAATATAAAGGAAAAGCACACATAATTTCTTTTCATTTTTGACAAAAATGTGAGAAGTGTGGAGTTCCTTTTAATCTTATATCCTTGAACATATTTTTATGCATAATTATGATTGGTTATTGAAGGAAGACTGGCTACAAGAAAACCAAAAGTTTAGAGTTCATGACAAGTCGTATAGGAGACACAGCAAACAAGTGGAAGACCATGCAAAAATGCTATTACCCTAAGCACACATCCCTTTGACATGATTGAGGGGGCAGCATTGTGTGCGAATGCTTTTCTACAGGAGGGCTAGCAAATCTGGTCAGGGAGGGCAAATACGAACTAAATATGGGGCAATTCTAAAAGAAGAGTGAAAAGCTGCAAAAGACTTCAGATTTAGATTGAAGCACATGAGTGTTTTAGATTGATCCAGATTGATGTCAGCACACTTTTTCCATTTAATTTTTCTTTTTTTCTCTATAAAGAGAAAATAAGGGAAAAAGCTGTTAGTGTGTGGAAAGCTGGGAGAGTTTTTTTTTTTCTACATTTGTTAATACAACTGAATGCAAAACCTTGTACTGATGTTTCACACAAACTGCCCGTAAATGTCATTAAAATTTGTGGTGATGTGACAAGATGTGAAAACCTTTGCTAGATATTGGTACTTTTGCGCAAAAGTATTTGCTGTCCCTTAAACACAATCCAGGTAAACGATAACAAAAACATAAAAAGACATTCGAGTCATTATTCTCATGTTTACAAACTGCCCAGACTTCTTGTGAAAATGTGTTCTGTGCTTTTGTTAAAATTCATAAAGAATCCTGGACAGGAGCTCTCTTCTCAAGCCGTTGGGGCAGAGGTGCTGAAGTGCAGTATTTGAGAGCTGCTACTCTGCAGCTTTTAATGCATCCCTTCTGCAGCACAGCTGAGTCATGCTTTGAACGGATCAAGGCTGATTAAAACTCTCACCTCTGACACAAAGTAATGTAACAGTCAGCCAGGCCTGTTAATACATGAGTCATTTCATTATTGCAATCTATCCGTCAAAATCTCCCCAGGATGTCGGACATTTATTGTCGGCCCATTTTTCTGCTTTTAGAGTAGAGGTTCTATGAAATGTGACTACATTGGAAGGGTAAATTTACAACTTCAGGCTTGGAAAACTAAAGTAAAATAATATATATTTTATAATCGGCTTATAAAAACATAATTAAATGCTTTATGGCATTACTTAAGAATTCCAGTTCCAAATAAGTTTATAATTTAGTTTGAATTGGGTGGTGACATAAACACCCAAATAATATTAAAAATGTCATTTGCTTTACATCCCTTCAAATCTCCACTTTAATGTCTGTATTCCAGACTCAGTGTGTGTGTTTTGTGTGTGTAGTGTTTTATGAATACCAGAAGATGTGCGGCAGAGATATCGAGAAAAGCATCAGCAGAGAGATGTCTGGAGACCTCGAGAGCGGCATGTTGGCAGTGGGTAAGAAGAATGCATTCTCACCGGTTCGAGTTTTTCCTGACAGCTTTTCAGTGCTGTATGGAGGCGGTGTCACCTTTTTCCCTCCTGTATAATCATGGAAGACTGCACTGTAAAAAAAAAAAAAAAAGAGAAAGACACCTCTAACTTGTAAAATAAAACTACAGTATAAATACGGCAAAATTCTGGCAACCACAGCTGTCAGTATTTTTCCATAAATTAGATGTTTTTTTTTAAGCGTACCATATTACGTTTGATGGAACATTTATCTGCTAAAATGGCTGCACAAATATTATGTTCATTCCAGCTTTAATATTTTACAGCGCATGACCTACTTTTGATGGTAAAAATGTTGGGAAATGCTGATAATCTGTTTTCTTTTTGTTTTTGCAAACATAAGGTTTATGGTACAGTAACCTATTTAAATTTGAATATTGACATCACATTTTATTTAGATTTTATGCACTTGTGTGTTTACATTCTGGTGTTGTTGGTTTGTTTTATTTCATTTCACTTGACATGCCCTATCTTGATAGATATTCCATTGTAGAAATTAACATATCAGATGCATGTTTTTGAAAGAAAAATAGTTTCCCCCTTGCATTTTCTTGTTGTTATCCTGCAGTAATTATTTTTCTGGTGTTTTGTGTGATGTGTTTTAGTCTGGTTTTCTCTTTGTGTACGCTGTGTTGAGCATTTTTGTTTTTTATTGCCAATAATTGATGTTTCTGTTTGTAGTGAAGTGCATTAAAAATACACCAGGCTACTTCGCAGAGAGACTTTACAAATCCATGAAGGTACAGCAAACATTAATAATCAAATCATTAAAATTTAAATATGAACGTCACCTTTCAGTTAGAATTACTGAAACAAATATACATTTCTGCTATCTTAATTTATTGAGTTATATCTGTATGTATATTTTGTCCAAATACTTATATAAGTATATGTAAATATGAAACTCTTGTAGGGAGCTGGAACTAAAGACAGAACACTGATCCGGATTATGGTCTCCCGTTCGGAAGTTGACATGCTGGATATCCGTCAGGAATACGTTAAGAACTACGGAAAATCGTTGTACACACACATCCATGTAAGTACTTATGCTCATTCAAACATATTGTGAAATATTGTATTTATTTTTTTGAAATGCAATGCTTTTGCAAGATGCTTATCAGCATTAATTTGCTATACTTCTAATTAACAGGGAGACACATCAGGAGACTACAGGAAGCTGCTGATTAAGCTCTGCGGTGGCAATGACTGAAGAGGAGACATAGCCTGCAGTAGACCAGGAGCAGTCAGGTGCATTTGCAGCTTTAAGATGTTTCTATGAATATCATGTTCCTGCCTCCTCTGTATGAATTATATCCAAAATGACATACCTGCTCGCCATGCCAATGCTTCTAAATGCTACATTTACACAGCAGTATCTGTAACAATTTATTTTTCCATGTAGACTTTTTGTTCCAAATAGTGTGTTTATTACTATGACATATATGTTTTGAAATCTGAAATCGAAACTTTTGCTGTATATTTTTAAGGATTTTTATTACAAGTGTGCCATCATGATTGCATGTCAAAAGAAATTGTAAACATAAATCATCTTGCTTTTTGATTTCAAGAAATGCTGAAGTACCAAAGTAGAGGCTCATGTTGGAAAATGTATAATCTAATATATGATTTGTCTGGATTATGGTCTCCCAGTTACACATTATTGTTTACTATATTTGTGTTGTGTTTGCAACTGATTTTTCAGGGTTTTTTTTTTTGCCAGTGTGCCTGTTGGTGTTTGTTGTAAAACTAGGCATGCCAAGTAATAAATTACAGATACAAAAAAACTCAGTGCTGTTTGGTTTGTTAATGCAAAATATGCAAAAGAATGTGTGAAGAGACGGCAGATATCATCCATAGCATTTGCAAAACTTAGCAAATTCCACAGTGAAGCTTAAATTTAAAAATGATAAAGTTTTAAAATATAGAATCCCAACCCTTTTAGCACCAATGTGCAGAAAAATAGAAACACCAAATAAATACAACTTTGCAAGCAAAAAACACGGATGCGTAACTAGAAACTACAAACTGACAACCTGTCAGCTAGTAAGAGCTTTAGAGATTTGATAAACTTATTCTGAAAAGGACAAACTATTTATTGAAGTATTTGAATACTCTGTAAAAAAGAAGTTATCAAGGTGTATCCATGGCTACCAGTGCACTGTTGAATTTCCCTACCAGCAGAGGGCAGTGATGTAATGTTAAAATTTTACAGTCTCACCCCAGATGTAATTTTCCATTCTCCAGATCTTATATGGATCATTCCTTGTTGTGTTTTAGGTCATAGATTGTGAACAAAGGTTAAAATGTGTACAGGCATTTTGATGCTTGTACAGCTAAATGATGAGAGCTTTCAGATCAATGCCAGGAACTCGTGGGATTTTTTGTTGTTGTTAAATTCTTCACATTTTGCTCAACACATACAAATAAATATTTTGTCCATCTTTCTTATCTGAAGCCAACTAGTGTGGCTGTTCAGTGAACTCTTTGACTTTAAAAAGAAAAATCTTTGTTGACTTCATTTAAAATGCTGTTCAACACACCTGGCTGGAAAGACTGGCCACTGCGCTTGGCTGGTCACAGTGGTGTGGAGGAAGACTGCCCTAGAGTCAAATGGTGGGCTGGGGTGGGGTCGGCGGATGGGGGTATGTGGAACTAATAGCAGCTGTAAAACAGCTTTGGCACACTGAACAAAGCCAACATGGAAGAGTGGTTTTAGAGCATGTCAGTAAAATAAATTTGAAAAAAATGCTTGGTGTTAGAAATGGATTTCAAAATTAGAAGGCCACTGAGGGTGTTTAGAGAAGGATTGCATCCCTGTTTTGCCAGTACCGTTCCTTTGGACTGAACAAGTAACAGTTTGAAACTAGAAAAAATAAATAAATTGCATTTATTCTTGTGAAAATGCAGAGTGAATGCTGTAAACTTTTTTTGTGTGAACTGGAGAAGAATGTGAATGCAATTGCAGAAAACTTACAGAAATGTAAGAAATTGGCAAAATGCATATTGAAAAGTTATTGAAGAAGATTGAAAGTTAATGCAAAAATCCCACCCAAAGACTATTAGAAATCTCTACAAAATACTGCTTTCAAGTCTATACTGTAATGTCACAGCAGCTTATAAGGTGAGCTAAAAAGCTAAAGCTAGCTGAAATATGAATCAAAGGACATAGAATTTGATTAGTATCCTGTATGCTACTAATGATGCACCTACAGTAAATTGGTTACCTTATTGTAGGTGCAAGTTCACCTACAATAAAAAAAACCCATGCGGTGTGATAAAACCCATGTGAAAGCTACAATTAGTTGGTAGCTAAAACAGGCTCAAATACTACTGATAGCATCAAGGCTAGCACTAGTGAGTTGACCTTCAATAACAGTGTGTTATTATTGAAATCTCATCTGTATAGTGAAATTCAGTTTATCAAATAGGTAAGAAAGAGTCTTAGTAATAAATTGAAGAAAGCCAGCCTCATCATTGTAGCTTATTCAAAGGCACAAGCTTTTAGATGCACACAGTAGCAGCATATATGTTTAACTTGTGATCTCACATCAGTGACACATACCAAGTAACTATTGAAAAGCATGTTTCAGACTGACTTGGCAATGTGCCAACAGTTTGTTGCGAAATGGAGAATGTTGGTCAGTTACCCACTGATAATTGTTTTTTAGAGACTAACGCTTTCTCCACACTCTAATCGCAAAAGAAAAGTTAGAACGCTCTGTTAAAACACTTAACTACCCAACATAATTACTTAATTTTAATAACAATGACAATTTTCCAGCACCCTTAAAAGAGTTTTTCCCTAAGTCATGTTTATAACTGGATTTTGTAGGCCAAATAGAGGGTTTCACTTGTGTGGTACATTGGTAATTTTTAAAATCAAGGCTCTTTCAAACCTACTATCACTTTGTTATGTATGGGTTCTACAGTGTAATAGTTAACACCTTAGTCTTTGAATCCAGTGCTTGGAGTTCAAGTCTCTGTAGAACTTTCTGGCATTCCATCTAAAAGTTTGAATAAAACAACATTTTCCACATCGTTGCTGTTCTTAGGATTTATTTATGGATTTATGGCATTTGAAAACAGGCAGAAATAAAGGTTTGACAGTTTGCCCACCAAGTTACTCTGTTGTATAAATATTTGCCATAGTTCACAGCCATATTAACCTTTGACAAATATTGTGTCTTCCACCTAGAAGATCAGAAGACCAGTTTTTGTATTGTAGCCATCCTTCCAAGTATGAGATGGTGATTATTTGTGAAAGAGTGCACAATTTTTAGCAGAATATTCCAGAAATTATGGGATTTTCCACTTATTTCAATGGAAAATGAAGATGATCACAAAAAGCTAAACATTTGATAAATTATAGAAGATGTAAATACCAAAAGACATAGCCATAATATCCTGAATGAGCAGAATATGGTAAAGCTGAATGGTTGAAAACACAAAGTATGCAGAAGTAGTTAAGTGAAGAAAAGTGTATGGAAAAAAAGTGGAGGAATTCAAGAGTGTAAATGCCTACAGCAATCGCTCTAATGAAAAAACTACCCAATGAACAGCAGTTATGTGGTAAGGAGAGAATGGTTCCAAAATCTCAGAAGAATGTTTCCAACAACCTGAAATTGCTTTCTGAGTGGAAAATGAAGGTTGTGCAATGGTTTAGCCAGAGTCCAGAACCAGAATCTGACAGAAAATGGTGGGTATCACTTGAAGGATAACACTTTACTGATTAAACTTTAGCTTTCATAACATAAACCTACATAATTTTTTAAGTTTAATCAGTAATACTTTTATAACAAATTTATGTCAGACTATAATTTCTTGGTTAATGACAAGTTATCATAACAAAGTCATTTTGAATAATGTTAACTTTGTATTAAGTGTCATGATTTACAAAATGACACTTTATGACAACAGTCACAAATATTCATGAAGACTCACTCATGTTCATGACAGGTGCTACCCCAAATAAACCCCAAATAAAGTGTTACCCTTGAAAAGTATGGTGGGAAATAAAAATGTCCTCATAATCTGACAGTTTTGGAGCAATGAATGGTAGAGTGAGCAAATATTGCCAAGTCAAGATGTGGCATGCTGATACAGTCCCACTAAAGAAGACTGGAAACTGAATCAAGATGTGCTTCAGTAATGTAGCTTTTAAAGTTGTTCACAATTATACAACCAGGTAAAAGCAGCTTTCGCATTAGTATTTTATTTTATATTCCCTGCTTGAGTTTAACAGTCCAGAATAAAAAAATCACATTGAAATAGTTGTAAGAGTTGCACTTATTTATGTGCTTTTTATCTGTTTCAGGTTGTCATCATCAATGTTCCATCTACATAACATTTTTAATGCCAATTGTTGAAGATAAAGATTTTGTTGGATTCTGTTAAGTGACATAATCTAATATAATTTGAAATGTATTCCTTGATTTTAAAAACAGAAGAGTATTTGTCATTTTAGTTTTTATAGTTATTTGTATTGAAATATGTTTTTGTGAAATTTAACTGTGTTCTCTGTTTCTCTGTTATGAAATTCTACATGTGATGTCCGTGAGTGCGGCGGTCGCGGTAACATATTCTATTAGCTTGAATCAAGTGGCATAAATAAACTCATCCCCTTTGTTCACAGCTTGCTTTTTCGTTATTTGTTGTGAACACTCAACATATTGGAAGCTCCATCATGCTCTGCTTTCTGGCTGGATTTGAATAAAACAGATACATTCCTTTGATGCAGTGAGTAAGAGTGTGAAAAATGAGCGAACACTGCAGTAATTGTTTTGCCACCCTTAGCTCTGACAGCTTTAGCTGAATCTCTACTCGAGCTTGCGATGAAAAAAAAAAATCTATAAAATGCAGGGATTTTTTTTTTCTTCCTTTGAGGCCTTTGCGCCAGGATAAGTGATGGATATACTTGCTGACAGTCTCTTCAATAAAAGATAAGGCTATTATCTCAACTGTTCTAGACTTACTCACAACCAAATCTTTGAAACAATATTTCAATGAATAGTCAGACAGCTTGAAACACCACTTTAGTCGTCTAAATAATAAACACATTCATACCCTCAAGATGAAAACCATCAGGCCGCCCTCCATTCACATGAGCATCCTCAGAAAAGGGATACGGACACAATTGTCCAATGTGTGTCAGTGGAGGGGACGTTCGCTTCCCTTTGATATGAATAAAATGTAATTAATTTTTCATCCAAATGGAAGGCACATGGTTGCACAAGCGATGTAGCCATCAGGGCAAAGAGACGGAGATGGGAGGAGGGGAGCGAGTTGCAGATGTCACAATGAGATTCACTGCATGCATGAATAAGGTCACGGTTTGAGAGGTATGCCTGCAGTCGCCTGCCACTGTGCCAACAATCTCTGTTCAGCTGCAGTTTGGGAAGCAGGGCGCATCCATTGTCATTACACTGTGTTGCACAAATCCTCCTCAAATACACATTTCATTTATCATTCCCATATATGGCTTGGATGTTAATAAACAACGTGCCGCCTTCTTATATTTTATCCCTTCATGGAGACAGAGCACTCTATGAAATTGGCTGCAGCTCAGAAGGTGCATAAGCCTGTGGCTACAGCAGCAGCATTATGCAAGGAATAAATAAATCCTCCTATTTTTATCATTGCAGTGACATTTTTTACTAAATGAAATATTTAAAATGGCCAGACAGCTGATTTGATCTAGTTCTGTTGATTAAAATGTTTATCGTTTCACTAATTTGTGCCACTAACTATGACTGAAACCCCCTGGACAAAATATGTCAGG